ATCAACGTGCAGCGGACGGGGCAGCCCCTGCCCCAGAGCATCCAGCAGGCCATGCGCTACCTCCGCAGCCAGTGCCTGGACCAGGTGATGCCGCGACCATCGCCCGTGGCTGCGGGGCGGCTCCCAGTCACCGCTGTGCCACGTTGGGGGACAAAAGCCAGCTGGTGGGAGGACTTCCTGTTCACCTCTTGTAGCTTTTGGCTGCGGGGAAGTGGGAGGGTGAGACTGTCTATGGGAGCTCCACACGCACCAGTGCCTCCTCAGCCTTCCTTCACCCCGGCTTCTTCTGGGGTGTTTGGGGAAGGGGCTCCTTGGTGTCCCTCAGGAGCCGAGCTGCCGCTCTCCCCTGGCAGGTTGGCATTTTCAGGAAGTCCGGGGTGAAGTCGCGGATTCAGGCGCTCCGGCACATGAACGAAACCAGCCCCGACAACGTCAACTACGCGGGGCAGTCGGCGTACGACGTGGCTGACCTGCTGAAGCAGTACTTCCGTGACCTGCCCGAGCCCATCTTCACCAGCAAGCTGACAGACACCTTCCTGCAGATATACCAGTGTAAGTGCTGGGCTGGGGATGGAAGTCGGGGTCTCCTGGGGAGGAGGCAGGTGGTGTCCATGGGGATGGACCTGCTGACCATCAGCTTTGCCCTGTGCTGGCAGTCGTGTCCAAGGAGCAGCGGCTACAGGCCGTGCAGGCGGCCGTGATCCTCATGCCGGATGAGAACCGGGAGGTGCTGCAGACCCTGCTCTACTTCCTGAGCGACATCGCCTCCGCGGAGGAGAACCAGATGACTGCTGGGAACCTGGCTGTGTGCCTGGCCCCTTCTATCTTCCACCTCAACGTGTCCAAGAAGGAAAGCACCTCGCCAAGGTGAGGGTTGGACTAGCTCTGGCCTCCCCAGCCTTCCTGCAGCCCCCACCTCCCCGTCATCCCTTCCCTGCCTGCTGTGGGAGGAGGCCAGCAGACTGGGTGGAGGTGTGGTGGGACCATGCATGCTCTCAGCACAGCCCCCATCGCTCTGCTTGGCAAAGAGGGGGTCTGTGTCGCAGGGTGATGGGGGTGGAGGTGGGTAGGATGCCCACCTGGTGCCAGCAGTGCTGCTCCCCTGCAGGGTGATACACAAGAGGGGCACCATGGGGAAGCCTGACCAGAAGGACCTCAATGAGAACATGGCTGCGACGCAGGGGCTCTCCCACATGATCACCGACTGCAAGAAGCTCTTCCAGGTGGGTGGCTGTGGTGTGTCCACAGAATCACCTGGATTGGAAAAGCCCTTTAAGCTCCTCGAGTCCAACCATGAACCCAACACTGACCAGTCCCCTATGACTAACCCATGTCCCTCAGCACTATGTCTACATGACTCTTCAATCCCTCCAGGGATGGGGACTCCACCACTGCCCTGGCCAACCCCTTCCAATGCCTCAGAACCCTTTCAGCAAAGAAATTCTTCCTCACATCCCATCTCAACTGCCCTGGCCACAACTGGAGCCCATTTCCTCTTGTCCTGTCCTGTCATGTTCAGCCTGGCACTGCCCTCCCCGGGTGCTGCCAGTGGGAGATGTGACCTTGCCAGCGTGATGCTGGTCCTGCAGAGTCAGTGTGGGGGGAGATACGGGGGCCCATTTGGGGCAGCTGCTGCTGGTTGATCAGCCTCAAGCGTGGAGCTGGCTGCATCTCGTGGTGGTGTGGGTCAGAAGCTGCAGGATGTGTGTCTGGGGAGACACTGTCCATCCTTCCCCCTTCCTTGGTGGGATGAGGAGTTGTGGTTTTCTAGCTGCCCAGGACCACTTACAAAGTCCATGGAGGATCCCTTTGGCTTTCTGAAGATCTATATGCTCTTGGCTTGTAGGTCTCCCATGACATCTTGCTCCAGCTGAGCAGCTCCTACATGGCAGCAGATGCTTACCCTCATCCCCTGGCTGACTTTGTGTGTCAGGGAGAGAGCAAGGATCTACACTCCTACTTCGAGCAGAGTGTCCAGAACCTGCTCAAAGAGTCATCGGAGAAATTCAAGGGGTGGCTGAGCACCCCAGGGCCCCTGAACACGGAGCTCTCCTGCAAAAAGGTACATGCTGCTGTGTGGAGGGGGGCTGGGGTCACGCAGGGAGATGGGTACGGGGTGACCACTGGGTGCCATGGGTCCTGCAGGCACCTGCCAACCTGCTGGCAACCTTGGGGCTTGTTCCCTTCAGCAAGGAGGGATCAGCAAGCCCTTCCCCGGCCAGAGCTGGGGCTGAGAGGTGGACAGATGGAGGGTGTTCTGTGCCCACCAGTCCTGGCGGAGACCCCACCGAAGTGGTGGGGGC